AGTAGGCATAGGAAAAACGGACATTATTTCTGTAACAACCCAATAGAATGACTTTGTTTTGAGTTAACCGATAAATTGTATTTGCTATCATTGATGGGCCCCAATTGTTTTCAGTTTCTAACTGAGCGAAGCAATTCGGGAAATGATCAAATCCATGTAGCAAGAAACTGCTCCCTAGATAAGGAAACTGTTGGTTATGAGACAAAGAAAAGGTTTGTTAATTACCATCGTCATAAGCAGGATCGAGAAGACGTCGCATTCCTGTGAATGCATTTCCATACTTCGGAAATCGCAAGTTGTTGCACCAACCCGAGTAGGATCTCAATTGTAGACATTTTCGGGATCAGATTTTTTGATTTGTTGAGAAATTACCTATATTTTGTCGTGTGATCGCAGGGAAGAGGCTGTGGTAGGCATTGTTCTTGTGGGAGTGGTTCACGTCCTGAAAAACAAGGAAATCGAGGTATATTGTGACAAATGTGTCTGTTTGGTGCAATAATCTCAAGATAAGACACAAGATTATAGAATTTACACATTTTTTTGATAGTTTCAGGAGATTCGTTTTGACGAAAAAGTTATAGAAAGCCATGCTCCTCACAGGGATTCTAAGGGAAGTTATTACCGAGAAATGGTGTAAAATTCCCAACAATCTTGTCTACTTCCACATCTGGCAGAAGCAGCTGCAAAGTGGACACGTCTAATCCCACAGGAAGCTTTTCGTTCTCTTCAAGACCATTCCTTAAATGTAACCATTGTTTCTGCTTTCCTAGGCAAGCAATTTAAACGCTTACCCCTGTACCAGAACTTTTGTGGCTTCTCTAAGCACTCCGGCAATTCTAGCAATGTCAAGAGATTCCCGTTTTGGAGCCATTAGGGACGCATGTGAGAAAACCGCCGATTGTGAGCTTCTGCTTGGTGGAGGACCTCAAATAAAATGCGTGAAGAGATCAAAATTTTCAGGTGTCCGAAGATTTTTAACCTTGAGCTCGAATTCTTCGTCCTTCTGACTCTTGAAGCCTGTTGTATTGTTCTAATCCCAATCTGATTGCTTTTTCCACGGTAGCCTGAAAACGATTGTTTGTTTTGGATTTCCAAAATGCAATTCTTCACCTTCGTTATGGGCAAAGCACGTTTAGGCTCCTCATCCTTCCAAGCGGAAAAGTCCACGGTGTCAATGACAGATGATCTACAGCTCACTGGGCAGTTTCTCAAAAAAGATACAGCTTGGCACTTCTGTGATAAATGTAGTTAATTTTTATTCACTTCACTAAAGTCTCTGTTACGTATTATCTCTGTGATCTCGTCCAGCTAATCCAATTACAAAGATAAGCTGAGACAAGAATGGGAATGCGATTAGCACGAGAACTGGCTGTGGAAATTTTAGCTATCTTTAATTAGGCTAATAAACCCAGAATACTTGTTTCACCTACTGTTCTTCTGTGAACAAGCTTCAATTTCGGATGCAAACGAGCATGGAAAACATTTCTCCAAGTTTTTCCACTTACGGCAT